GGCCGCCGAGGAGCGGGGCAGCCCAAGCTGCCTGGGGCGGTTGTAACGGGGAGAGACCCACCGGCGAGCGCGCGGGAAGTCGGACCCCAGCACGCGGGTTGTGTGTTGAAGTCATGTTTTGGATGTACTGTATTAAACACAATGTGGAAATTAATGCCACCTTTTTGTCTTTTAAAGTGATTCCCAGAGTTTATATTTCTCTCTAACCCCTGTGGGCCAGTGAAGAAATGCGGGAGCAGCGGTGTGAGTGGTGGGGGACAGAGGGGCCCCTGGAGGACCGAGCGCTGGAGCTGGGGGTTCAGAACAGGAGAGGGGCTGGCGGAAAAGCAGAGACTCCACCTGGATGAAGGGCACTCCACTGAGGACGCACCTGGGTGTGGGGTCGGCCAGCCGCTGACGGGGCCGAGCAGGGCAGGGGGACCGGGGTCCGGATGGGGCTGAGCAGGGGGACAGGGGTCCGGACGGGGCTGAGCAGGGGGACAGGGGTCCGGACGGGGCTGAGCAGGGGGACAGGGGTCCGGACGGGGCTGAGCAGGGGGACAGGGGTCCGGACGGGGCTGAGCAGGGGGACAGGGGTCCGGATGGGGCTGAGCAGGGGGACAGGGGTCCGGATGGGGCTGAGCAGGGCAGGGGGACCGGGGTCCGGATGGGGCTGAGCAGGGGGACAGGGGTCCGGATGGGGCTGAGCAGGGCAGGGGGACCGGGGTCTGGGATTCATGCATTTGGGCGGGAGGCACAGACTCTGGGTCCCTGGGTCTGCATCGGGCACCGGGGATACGTGTCTGCTGTGGAGGGGAGGGGAGACAGAGGTGAGGACACACTGCACTGAGCTGGTTCTGCCCCCCACATGGCAGCACACTGCAGCGAATGGACCACGTACCACTGTGCCCCGGCTTTGGTATCACACAGATTTTTAGACATAGGAGAAATAATCACTTTTTTTTTTTTTTTTAATGGAAATCAATTATTTATATAAATGTGTTATTTCAAGCTTGAAATACGGTGCATTTGCGATAATAAATGCAACAAAATTAGTGTTTGATATTAAGGGATAAAATAGAAAACTGTCTATTGAACTATAATTAAATGTTCCATTTGTGGAAAGGAGATTTTACTAGCAGCTGAAGTTAGATATAAAGACTTGTGGAGAATTCAGAGACATGTTCTTGTGACTCTACATACGTAGAGTCTTTCATGTTGATTCGTTATCATACACACGGGCTCCTTAAATTCTGTGACTTCCCTTCGGCTGAGGAAGTTGTCCGTCTGACCTGATGGCCCCACAGACTCAGCGGGGTGGACGGAGGTGGGGAGCGAGTGAGGAAGAGGAGGGACCGGGGGTCTGCGAGCAGCCCAGGAGGCACTGACGGGAGGGAAGGGCCAGAGACCCCAACAGAGCTGAGGGTGGCTCTGTCCCCCGTGGGCAACAGCAGACTAAATGGAAAACGTACTTTTGCGTGGTTTCGGGGAAGACAGTTTCCCACTTTGACCAAGTACAGTCCGCTCTATGTTTAAGATACGTAGGTTTTATTATTAAAGGGAGTAGAAAACGTACCCCCGTCTGATGACCGGAGAGTGTTCTGAAGATCACACCTTGTTTCTGCAACAAGCCTTGCCCCGCGCAAGGACACCAGGCACCTGTGCTGAGTCATGTGATAGATTCCCATTCAGTGCTGACAGTCACCCAGCGGGGGCGCTGTGTGACCTCTGTGCTACAGGAGAGGACATGGTGAGCCCAAGACCCCAGACTGTCTGCAGCCGCCCAGCTGGTGGGAGGCAGAGCCGGAGGAGACCCAGCCCCCCGAGTCCCCTCAGTGACCCCGTGATGTGTCTGGGGTTCAGGGAGTGTCCACAGTGAACAAAGGTGAAGGAGAGAAAACATTCATCCACCCAGCAAACCCCTGGACGTAAAGGAGAAACACCACCTTCTGGCGGCCACGCCAGCCGGACAGTTATTCCAAAGTCGTGAGACCCAGCGGCCGCTGTGTGACAGGTGCCCTTCCGGCCGCCCCTGGAGCCACAGCAACGCTCACCCGCGTGCGTGAACGTGAGCACACAGACGTGTACCTGCTGAGCTGTCTCCCGCGGGCGAGGGGAACCCACGTGCGGACGGCTAGGTTTCTTCCGGAAACCACTGGCCAGCTTGTTGCGGGGCCTCCTGAGCGGACGGGTGACCAGTGATCTCTGCACTGCACCCGGGCTTTGCAGGATCGTTCCGGTAGAAATTGCGTGTGCAAGTAAGAGGAAAGTCAGTGCTCGTGGTGAACAGGTCACTTCATGTCCTGGTAAAACAGCCAGAGGGACGCTCGAAACTGCACGAGTCCTCGTAAAGGGGTTTGTTGCAATCGAGACGAATAAACTCTTACTGGGTGAAGGGCTGTTTTTTGGTTTTATTTTTAGGAGGAGCATCCATTTTTTGCATTAGCATTCTTCCTGGTCAGCTACTTAATTCTCTTTGGCCACCACTTTAATACAAACAAAACCCGGTCGAGTGCGACGGGCGACAGGTGTTTCAGAGGCCGTGTCTGATGCTGGGCCTGCCTTGTGAGTGTGGCCCCGCGGTGCCTGGGACGAGAGAAGGAAGGAGGACGGGCACTGGCCGGCTGACAGGTTCCAGAAAGCGCTTCAAACTTTAAAAAGTATGTCATCCCAGACCGCGAGACGGGATTGGTTTAGGATTCTAAAGAAATACAAATATTAAGCCTCGAGTCTATAATTCTGAAGCAGCAGGTGGGTAAAAACTGAGAAAATCAAGATATTCTGAAAACCGAAAAATTTCCTGGTTTATCATAATTTCCTTGTAGCCCAGTGTCCCTCTAAACGGTACGAGGAAGATGAATTATGCAGTTGGAATTTATTTTGTGGTGCCCGTTATCTGTCTTAGAAAAGGCACACTGATGGAAATGAACCTGGGGAAGAGGGTGAATTTTGGGGGGGTTCTGCTCTCAGATCCCCGAGGAAGGTGAATGATACCGTGTACGTCACTTAGGAAAAAAATGAGAATGCATGAAATGAGTCATATTTTTAAAAACTCTGGTGGTGAACTGCACTGAGTCAGGGGACTGTTGATGAATATGAGAAATATCTCGTCTTCTATAAATACATCTGATGTCCCATTTGGAAAAACCAAAACAAACGGACAAAACCAACAACCTCAGACTATACACTGGGAAGCCAGTAAACAGAGAGAGGCCTGCAGCACCCAGAGTCCTGCGTGTGGGGCCCGGGCCCGGTCCGCACGCTCTCCCGTCACAGCGCTGAGAACCACGGTCTCGGGGCCGACACGGGCAGCGGGGGAAGCTGGCGAGTTGTGGTCACTGTGCCCAAGGAAAACCTACTTTTTTTAAAAAAAAAAAAAAAAGCTCAGGAGCCCGTCTCTGCCTGCAGTAGGAAACCCCAGGTCGAGAATCTTAATGAATTCGGAAATAAAATAGGGAGAAAGTCTTGATTCTCTTTTATGTGATTTGATTTACTTGCTTAAAAAAAAAACTCCCCAAATAAATAACAATAAAGATCTTCCGCTCGCTTTGAAGACACTGAGTTCGCCAGGCAGGGTTCTCAGACTGCCGGGACGGCGCCCTCTTTCGGGCCTGCGGAGAAGCCACCTGAAGGAGGGACGGGGGCCGTGTGCGGGAGCCAGCGGCCACTGCTCCGCTGAAATGTCACCTTCATGTGCCACGGGGGAGACCAGCAGGCTCCCCACATCCCCACTGGCAACAGGACCAAGTCCCACGGTCTGAGGGCCGCCTGCGCCCGGTGGCCGTGCACACGGTGGAGCCGCCCCTCCCCAGAGCTTCACTCAGGGGTGACCTGGCTGAGAATGGGGTTCGGCTTAGAGAATCAGTGATGCTGAAAGAGGTGACTTAGAGATGACATACGTTTTCCAATCAGACATCAGGAATAGTCTTCTACGGCAGCGCCTGCATAGGCACACACGTGCCCACACGCCCACACGCATGCACACACCCATAGGGCTGACGTATGCCGCGCAGAAGGGTGAAGGCCCCGCTGGACCTGCACACAGGTGTTGGCATTTTCATTTCGTCATGTTTTGTTCTCCATGGATCGTGAGAAATCACAAAGCCACGCCGTCACTGTCAAGGTGAAGATGCCTAGATGAGCCTGGCAGGTGTGGCTCAGTGGTTGAGCGTCGTCCCGTGGACTGAGAGGTCCTGGTTCGATTCCCGGTCAGGGCACAGGCCTGTGTTGTGGACTCGAACCCCAGTGGGGGGTGTGCAGGAGGCGGCCGATCCATGTTCTCTCTCTTCCTTCCTCTCTCTAAAAATCAACAAGCACATTGCATGCCCAGATTGACGGCACAGTAGGATTTGGACCCGCGTGAAGACAGCCTTACACATCCCAGCAAGGGCCATGCAGGGTACGCGCTCTGGTCGCCTTTCCGAGGCTGGACCGTGGTTGGAACCCCGCGCACCCGGAGGCTGAGCGCACAGGGAGACTGGTCATGTCGGGAAGGGATGGCAGCTGGTCCCACCCACAGAGGGAGACAGACAGACACCCAGGCTACAGCTTTACTTGTGCAGTGAGCCCAGGAGGCTGTGACAGAGAGATGTCTGTGGCTCCCGGGATCGGTGACGACCGCTAGGGCAGAGCGTGGGACGGTCCGGTCTCACCACAGAACAAGAGGGGGACGGAAGCCCTTAATTCAGACCCTGGGCACCACCGACCCCCTTCACAATCTCGTCCTTGTCACTCGCGCACTCAGCGTTCGGGTCACACAGAGTCCCGGACCTCACGGCTAACAGAGGAAGGGGCTGTGCTGCGACCCCACCCCGGAACGCAGAGAACACGCCGACCACAGCGTCCCAGCGCGCAGGGCCGACGCTAGCGACTCCGCGGTGTGCACGTGTAGGTTTTCACTCTACGGAAAAGGCGGGGTCATTCACACGGTCCTCTCTGACAGGCACACGTGTGTCGGGACACGTGGCGGGTCCGTGGTCCTGCTCTGTGGGGAAGCGGGCGTGGCCCTGGTCCCGGCGGCGCTACCTCACCTTCTGCAGCTCCTGGCGCAACCAGGCCGGCAGGGGCTGGCCCAGCCGGTGCAGCAGCTTGGACAGCTCCACGTTGTGGGCCCGGTAGTAGCCGGACAGGAAGGCTCTGGACTGATAAGAGAGGGAGAGAGAGGACACTGAAGGACGCCCGGGCGCCCAGACGAGGTTGCGCAACCCTCTTTCCTTAAGAAGCTCCCTGCAGTACAGGCGGCTGTACACGTGGTGCCTCTGTACACGTGGTGCCTCTGTCTGCCTCCTGAGAGCCCACTCATTCTTCCCTTGAAAACACCCGGCAGAAGTGCGGCTGAGAACAAGCACGTCCAGGTACACGCATGCAGCTCCCCACCGGCCCGGGTGAGCGCGGGACTGGTGTCCATGTGGTGGGAAGCGTCTACCCCTACAGAAGAGCGAGGCCCGGGACAGATTTGGTCCCAAATCTGCAGACATCAGCTAGACAAACCCAGATGTTGCCACTGAATGTGGCCACTTTCTGTGAAATTGGGCCAAGGCATAAAAATAAAAAGTCAATAGAAATAATCATACAAAACTGAAATTCATGATTCAAGAAATTAACATGTAACATTATAAAACTCTTTTCTGTCTTTATTCAGGACCAGAATAGATTTTCAAAAGATCCTCAAGCCCAGCTGGTGTGGCTCAGTGGCTGAGCGTCGACCCTGCACCAGGAGGTCGCCAGTTCGAGTCCCGGTCAGGGCACATACCCAGGTTGTAGACCCGACCCCAGTGGGGGGCGTGCAGGAGGTGGCCAGTCGATGTTCACTCTCATCGATGTTTCTCTCTCTCTCCCTCTCCCTTCCTCTCTCTCCCTTCCTCTCTGAAATCAATAAAGAAAAAAAGAAGTCCTCAATAGCTCTCTACTTCAAAAAAATTGTAGGGTCCCCTGACAAAGGTCACAATGATGATGTGTTTCGAGATTCTTCTATTCCTGGACTGGCCAGAGGCCTGGTCCTTATTAGATAATTGGTTATGAACAAAGATAATCAGATATACCCTTGAGCTTAGTCTTTGTTTACTTTTATTTTTGCAAAATAGCTAGTTCAAACATGGGTTTTCTCTCCAGGTGATATTCCACGTTATACCCAGTTAGCTCTGTGTCTGATAGGGGTAGAGAGAGGGACGCTCCTGTCCAAGTACAGGTACCCACAACCCACTCCTTGTCTTCTGTCTGGTCGACGTGCGCCATCCCTCCTGAGCCTGTCCCAATATTTTAGCACAAACGAGTCTCTTTCTTCATACAGCTGGCTGGACCTCTGCGTCTACTGGGCAAATGGACTCAGAAAAGCCACCGATCTTTGCACAGTGCTCACCAGGTGCTTCGTCACCTGTCTTCCCAGGACCCAGACAGTCAACACCCCACTTTCTGAACCAGACGCTCTAGCAGCAGTGGGAACCGGTTACAGTGGATGTCTGTGGGTAAAAGTGATTTCGGGCCCAGCTGGTGCAGCTCAGTGGCTGAGCGTCGACCCTGCACCGAGAGGTCACTGGTTTGATTCCCGGTCAGGGCACATGCCCGGGTTGTGGGTCAAATCTCCAATGGGGGGCGTGCAGGAGGCAGTCAATCGATGTTTTTTTCTGATCAACCTTTCTATTTCTCTCTCCCTCCTTCTCCCTTCTTTTCTCTCTAAAATCAATCAATAAAAAAAAAATAAAGTGATTCCGGAAACCCTTCTGAAAGTCTCGAGTTCAAAGTTCTAGTCTGAGGACCTCCTGCTGCCTCTGTTTCCATAGCAACGCCCGAATTGCTCTGCCTCACCCGGGGGAGGTGCTGTGGTCTGTGGCTTCCTGCTCCGAGTCTGAGTGACCCCTCAGACCAGCCCTCTCCTGGGAGACTGTCCCAGACTTTACGTGGATGGTACCGTTTCCTGTGTCTTATAACCAGTGACCGTAACAATTTACCCTCCTAGAGAGAGTCTGGGTTCAGGACTGCTTGTCACCTTTTGTCATGTCAGGAGGTGGCTTTTGGCCCTCACCCAAGGATGCTGCTTGCTGGGAGAACCGCCCATGTGTTTAGAAAGCGGGAACATGCAGCCCCCTCGACAACTGGGAGGAAAGGGGGGTTGGATCAACGGCGGCCTATGGACCGCAGCCACCACAGAGACCCCAAGTGGAGGGGTCCTGAGAGCTCCAGCTGGTATGCATGGGGGAGGGGAGGGGAGGGAGGGCGGCACACCTGGCAGCGCACCTGGGGGCACACCCGAGTCAAATCCAGGGAGGGGCCGTGGGGTCCTCTGATTTACAGCCAGGGGTTCAGGAGCAAGGTGACAGTGGGACTTGGACAGGCCTCCGAGGCGGGGTGGGGAGGGGCTGTCTCTCGGACAGAGCCCTGCACCTGGGGACCTGATGCTGTCTGCGGGTGCAGGTGTCAGTGTGAGCTGGACCACAGGGCACCCAGCTGGTGTCCAAGGGTTGCAGGGTGGTGGGGAGGGCTCCCCATCGCTTAGCTCAGCCCATGCCTGACGCAGGCACTGGGCATGTGCAGTTAACCTGCAATGACAACGCTGGCGTATTTTATCCCAAGCACTTGTCAGTGACGGGCGTGAGAACTTTAGGCATCAGGAGAGGGTGCTGTCCAGGGCGGATTACGTTCCAGTCGCATTCTGATGGCAGACACGTCTACAGATGTCTGCCTGTCACTGTCTCTGTCCTGTCTGTCACCTTCCAAATACACAGATCGGTCTACCGCAAGCGGGGGAGGGGGCAAACGGCCCCCACGCGATATGAGAGAGTCATGGGCGAGGCACCCAAGTCAGGAGAGCCTTACCTCTGGGTCCATGGGCGGGTACTTCCGGCCTTTGCTCTTCCCGAGGCATTTGGTTTTCCCTCCTTCCAGGAGCTGGCACCAGAAGCCCTTCTGGGGGTCAAACCTGCAAGAGACCGAGCACAGTCGTGGCCGCGAGGGAGGGAGGGTCCAATGACGCAGACACAGAGGGGGAAGCTCCCTGCAGGCCAGCAGTGCCTGGCGGGTGACCACCGCCCACACCTGCCATCCACTGCCACGGAGCCATGGAGCCACGGAGTGCACTGGCCAGTCCCACTGAGCCCACGTAACCATATGCTGTCACACATGTAGAGTACCTGTCACACATGTAGAGTATCTGTCATGTGTAGAGCATCTGCTATACATGTAGAGTATGTCACTCACGTAGACTATGTCATACGTGTAGAGTACCTGCCACACACGTAGAGCACCCATCACACATGTAGAATCTTTCGTATGTGTAGAGTATCTGTCATACATGTAGAGTATGTCATACATGTAGAGTATCTGCACTGTGATAAAAAGCACACACATCTTCAGTCCACTCGTATGTTAACATGATTACATTCCACACTGTTCTTATCCACCCATAACGGGCTTACTCATCAAAACTACAACCCACCACAAAGGACTTGTATTGATTTACTGATCTAGGATTTCCCTGCCGGAACATGTAAGGAGGTTTCTGTGAAGCCATCCGATGGTGTCCAGGGCGGGGCAGGGGGGCTCCAGGTGTGAGCGCAGGAGCCACGGGGCTCATGCCCGGGTCCTTGTTATTAATCAGTGTGTCGTATGCCAAACGGACGCTGTGAACACACGTTTGTCCCGCTGTGTGTTCAAAGGACCGACTGTAATATAAATAAAATTCTGTGACTATAAATAAGGATTAAACACGCTAATTTGGAAAAACACTACTTTTTTTTTTGCAGTGCAAGGGTTTACACCTCTCGAGGAGAAAGTGAGAAGTGTGGAGCACACTGTATCCTGTTTCGGGGAGCACGTGGGGCGCGGCTGCACAAAGGCCAGTGGAAGGTCAGGGGGCCCTTCGGTGCTCTTGCTGAAGGCAGAGGCTCCTAGCAGACACCCCAGGCCCCTTTGCTCCCAAAATCCGCAGCTGCTTTGTGCCCACGGCCACAGACTCACAAACAAGAGCGGTGTGGCCTAATTCGCTGGTTTAAATGCAGAATGTAAGCAATTTAAAATAAGAATTTCTGTTTGGGACTAACAAGACAGGAAAGATGAAAGAATGAACCGCATATGAAGGGGCCATTTACATTTGTTGCCCTGGGACCTGCCGTATGCGTAACACGCAGAAGGTCCGCATTTCGGAAGCTGGCAGATGCTTCGGGAAGGAGCGCAGCTGACTGGGGTGCAGAGCTCATTAGTTGCAGACTTTCCATGCCCTGGGCCCACTGCTAGGGCACCGCACACCTGCCTCTGACCTCTGCACGTGTGTGGACCATGGGGGGGGGGCATTTTCCATTTTCTTCACAGCTCCCTGCCCCACCTGTTACTGGGGATGTGGTCCTTGCAGTCCAGGTGGTCCTACTCCATGGTATGGATTAAAATTTAATGCATCCCGGGGCAGACAGATGACAGGACAACTGAGCCACTTCCCACCCGGGCTGTCCATCGGCTCCTGGCCCATGCAGTCCTTCCTGGAGTTTTCGTCACTTCCAAGAGGAAGACGATCTGCCCGCTATGGGAACACGTCGGGGAGACACAGCTGCCGGAGCCCGGACAGCGACTCTGCGCAGCGAGAGAAAGCTCCCAGCGTGAGGGCCAGCCCAGCGCTGGCCCCAAAGTCAGTTCATGGGCACGGAGAGAGCCTCGCCCTGCCCAGCTGTGCAGGTCCCGTGCTTGCCACAGCCGCTGCCAAGATGGCGCTCCTACAACCTGAGGAGGGAGAACCTTCTGGAATGCCCAGGAGCCCTCTTCAGACCGGGTCGTCATGACCTCGCATCCACTCGGCTCTGCTCCGCCCGTGGCTTCAGCAATGCTGCGCAGCCTGCAGAGGGTGCTCAGTTCCCCACTGTGCCAACGCCTCGCTTTCTGGTTGTTTCAGGGGGCACCGAGCTGTGGAACTAAGACGCGAGCCTCGTGGATGATGCTGGGACAGCGCTCAGGACCTCACCCGGCTGCCGATGCACACACATGGCTGCCGGTGTCAGTGTTCGTGACGACAGATGCCCTGGAGACCACATGGGCTGCGCTCGTTTGTAGTCTCTTCTTTCCAAGTGGGACTGGGGCCCGGCCTGTGTGGCTCAGTGGCTGAGCGTCGACCCTGCACCAAAAGGTCGCCAGTTCGATTCCTGGTCAGGGCACATGCCCAGGTTGTGGGCCCGACCCCAGTGGGGGGCGTGCAGGAGGTGGTCAATCGATGTTCTCTCTCATTGATGTTTCTATCTCCCTCTCCCTTCCTCTCTCTCCAAAATCAATAAAAAATAATATTCAAAGTGGGGCTTTGCAGGTCACTGGACTGTACGCTGCACCTGGTAGTAAACAGGATCGAGCCATTCCGGAAAGGACCGCCGGGAGGCAGGGAGGACACGCCCTCGTCAGTAACGAAGGAGGCCTGGGGCACCGAACCCCAAGCCCGCTGAGTGGTGGCCACCTATGCAGGCGAAACTTTCTTGGGGCTGTTTCCGTGGATGAGGAACTACTGGGTCTTCCTCCTGCTTCTCCCGGCCTCCCGCTGCCCCCCAAAGTCTACTTGCTGGTTCTCACCTACCGTGAGCCGGGAGAACCTACGAGCAGCTGGCTGGGGGCTACTCACACTCACCAGGCTCTCACCGGGGGTGGGGCCTCGAGGCCGGGGAGCCCCTTCTGCAGTGTGTCTTGGCTCTCACGGGGGTGGGGCCTCGAGGCCGGGGAGCCCCTTCTGCAGTGCGTCCTGGCTCTCACCGGGGGTGGGGTCTCGAGGCCGGGGAGCCCCTTCTGCAGTGCGTCCTGGCTCTCACCGGGGGTGGGGTCTCGAGGCCGGGGAGCCCCTTCTGCAGTGCGTCCTGGCTCTCACCGGGGGGGTGGGGCCTCGAGGCCCGTGAGCCCCTTCTGCAGTGCATCCTAGCTCTCACCGGGGGTGGGGTCTCGAGGCTGGGGAGCCCCTTTTGCAGTGCGTCTTGGCTCTCACCGGGGGTGGGGTCTCGAGGCCCGTGAGCCCCTTCTGCAGTGCGTCCTGGCTCTCACCGGGGGTGGGGTCTCGAGGCCGGGGAGCCCCTTCTGCAGTGCATCTTGGCTTCCTGAAGTTTTCATTTTTTTTGTTGTTGGGCTTGTTTCCATTTTTATTTTCATTTTTAAATACATAAGGACGGGGTTTATTTTCGCAGGATGACTGCAGTGATGTCTCTCCTCCCACAGTCCCTTCAGGTGGGGGCTCGCCCTCCCTGGTTTGGGCCTGCTGTAGGGCCTTGGGTGTCATCCACAGTGTGGTGAGTCACGCTGTGACCTGCAGGGTCCAGAGGAGGCCTGGCCATCCGGGGTCACCCCTTGGCGTGTCACCTGCTCTCAGAACCAGCTGGCGCACCATGAGAACACCTCGCGGAGAGGGCTCCCCCCGTTCAGCTCAGCCTCTGACCCTCGCCGTCCCAGAGAGAGACGTGAGGGCGGGAAGAGAGTCAGGTGCAAGGGGGCGGAGGTCTTGAACCCACCCCTTCTAGGCCCATGGGAGTGACGCCCTCTGCAAGGGCCCTGGGAACAGATGGGCAGAGCCTCCACCGAATGGGAAGGACCGGTGGACGCAACCTGGCTGGGAAAGGACATGTGCTGGCCACAGGCCGGAACCCGCTGGAGGGCGACCAGTAGGTGGCGACGGAGGAGAATGAGTCAATGATCTGAGAGGCAAAGCTCTCTTAGCCGAGAGAACAGCAAATGCAAAAAGAATTCAAAACAGTGACAATGCCTTCAGGGGCCTTTGGGGCATCAAGGGGAGTAACATTCACAACATAGGGGTCCCCAAACCAGGCAGCTTCGCTGGTGAATTCTGCCAAACATTTAGAGACGATACCAATCCTTCTCAAACTCTTCCAAAAAACTGAAGAGGTGAGAAGGCTTCCAAACAGATGCTATAAGGCCAACATGACCCTAATACCAAAACCAGACAAGCCCCCTCCCCCCAAATATTACAGGCTGATGTCCCTGAAGAACATAGATGCAAAAATCCTCAACAAATCTGGCAAGACATGGACAGATCACACACCAGGATCAGGTGGGATTCGTGTCTGGAATTCACGGACGGTTCGATACTCGAAATCAACGTGACCCACCAGAAACTGTCAGAACTAACCCGTGGATTCAGTGAAGTTGCAGGATACACATTCGTATGCAGAAATAGGTGGCACTTCTACACACAAATCATGAACTATTGAAAAGAGATCAAGAAAACAACCCCAGCCCAGCCAGTGTGGCTCAGTGGTTGAGTGTCAACCCTGCACCAAGAGGTCGCTAGTTTGATTCCTGGTCAAGGCACATGCCCAGGGTGTGGGCCTGATCCTCAGTGGGGGGCATGCAGGAGGCAGCCAATCGATGTTCTCCCTCATCAATGTTTCTCTCTCTCTCCCTTCCTCTCTCTCTAAAACAAAAAGAAAGAAAGAAAGAAAGAAAGAAAGAAAGAAAGAAAGAAAGAAAGAAAGAAAGAAAGAAAGACAACCATTTACAATTGCATCAAAGAGAATGAAATACTCAGAAACACATTAAATGAGGAGGTCAAAGGCCTGTACTCTGGAAAAGTAGTCTCCAGAGATTCCAGCCCAGCCGTCAGGTCACATGCAGGCCTCCGTGTCTTCCCACGGTGGCCCAGGTGTCGTGAGCAGAGACGAGCTGTCTCAATTCCCAGCCCACAGAATCCACAGGCCTTTAAAGTGACCGTGGTCACAGGCTGGTAGGTTTGGGGACGGTTCATCAGGCAAGAGATGGCTGACCATTATGCGTGATGACATTGGCCCTGGTTCCTAATTAAATGAATGCAGAGTGAGCATGTACCCCTCCCTCACTCTGCCCCGAGCCCTGCTCCCTTCCACGGACCCCATGACACCTCAGCGCTGTGTCCCCGTGAACCGCCTGGGGAAGACACCTGCTCTTTCCACCTTCGCCCCATGACGCCTCAGCGCTGTGTCCCCGTGAACCGCCTGGGGAAGACACCTGCTCCCTTCCACGGACCCATGACACCTCAGCGCTCTGTCCCCGTGAACCGCCCGGGGGAAGACCCCTGCTCTCTCCACCTTCGCCCCATGACGCCTCAGTGCTGTGTCCCCGTGAACCGCCTGGGGAAGACCCCTGCTCCCTTCCACGGACCCATGACGCCTCAGTGCTGTGTCCCCGTGAACCGCCCGGGGGAGACCCCTGCTCTCTCCACCTTCGCCCCATGACGCCTCAGCGCTGTGTCCCCGTGAACCACCTGGGGAAGACCCCTGCTCTCTCCACCTTCGCCCCATGACGCCTCAGCACTGTGTCCCCATGAACCACCTGGGGAAGACCCCTGCTCCCTTCCACGGACCCATGACGCCTCAGTGCTGTGTCCCCGTGAACCGCCCGGGGGAGACCCCTGCTCTCTCCACCTTCGCCCCATGACGCCTCAGCACTGTGTCCCCGTGAACCGCCCGGGGGAGACCCCTGCTCTTTCCACCTTCGCCCCATGACGCCTCAGCGCTGTGTCCCCGTGAACCGCCCGGGGGAAGACCCCTGCTCTTTCCACCTTCGCCCCATGACGCCTCAGCACTGTGTCCCCGTGAACCGCCCGGGGGAGACCCCTGCTCTTTCCACCTTCGCCCCATGACGCCTCAGCACTGTGTCCCCGTGAACCGCCCGGGGGAAGACCCCTGCTCTTTCCACCTTCGCCCCATGACGCCTCAGCACTGTGTCCCCGTGAACCGCCCGGGGGAGACCCCTGCTCTTTCCACCTTCGCCCCATGACGCCTCAGCGCTCTGTCCCCGTGAACCGCCCGGGGGAAGACACCTGCTCTCTCCACCTTCGCCCCATGACGCCTCAGCGCTGTGTCCCCGTGAACCGCCCGGGGGAAGACACCTGCTCTTTCCACCTCCGTAACCTCCCTTCCCAGGGCTCTCTGCGTCGTGGGCGTGTCAAGTGTCTTCACCAGACTTCTGCCGGGAAAAGCTCACGAAAAAGGCCAGAGGAGATGTGTGTTGAGGGGGCACAACATGAATACTGGGGTGCTCCTTTGAGTGCCTCTGGGGAGCATGATGTGACTTCACAGTGGGCATTATGAGGCCGTGTCCATAGCAGTAAGTGGGGACGGCAGGTGCGGGCGGTGCACTCACGTGAGGGCCTCGGAGTAGTTGTAGTGGGGAGTGACCCCCAGGAACCGCTGCACTTCATCCATCACGGCAGCCGGGTCTGCTCGCAGCTGCTGTCCGTCAATAATTAGCAACTGCAACGCCAAAAACAGTCACTTTGTGGAGAACAAAACCAAGTCAAATAGACCGAGCTGCTCCCTGACCTTGTATGACAGTCGCCAGCTGGGTCAGTGTGACCAGTAAGAAAAGACACGCTACCCAGAATGCATTTCACTGTTTACTCTCCCGTGTCTCCAAATGGACAACAATTAAACTTGGCTGTAGCAGCCCTGGCCAGTTTGGCTCAGCCGTTAGCATGTCGGCCCGCGGACTGAAGGGTTTGATCCCAGCCCAGGTCATGGTCCTGCAGGAGGCAACCAATGATGTGTCTCTTTCACACTGATGTTTCTCTCTCTTTCCCCTTTTCCTCTCTATCTAAAAATCAATAGAAAAATATCCTCAGGTGAGAATTAGCAAAACAAAAATTGCTGTGGGCATTTATAATTCTTAAGTCACTGGATTGTAAATCAGAAATAAACACAGATACTCTCTTGACTTATAGGTTCAGCAGAAATGTGATTTTCCAGAACTGTTGTGTGTTCAGCCTAAGAAATCCCTGGAGTGAGGTGCTTAGAAAGAGTGGGTGCACGGTGGCACTCACCCCTTTGTTCTCCTGACACATCGGGGCCAGGCCTGGGAGGAGGGTGTGAATGATGCCGACATGTCCCTGGATCCTCTCATTCTGCCCCCTGCTCCTCGGGGGCGAGAGCGCCTCCCCCTCGGACAATCCAGCGCCTGAGCCTCCTCTCCTGGGACAGCCCCACCCAGGGGCTCCAAGCAAGTGCACGGGGTCCCTCGGCCTGGGGCCGGCCGGTGCTCCGCTCCTGGTGGGAGGATCTCCTAGCGGCACAGGGCCTCCTGTGTGAGCACTGACCACGGGACCGGCCATCATCCGCAGGCAGGTCCCAGAACCTGCTCGATGCTCTGAGCCCTGCTTACCGCTGTTCTTGCCACAGCCTGCCCACCCGTCGTCCCCTGTGCGAGTCCCCGTTTTCTGCGTCTGTGCCACCCCGCCCCGGCCTGGCGACATTACCTGTGAGGTGGCGAAGTGAGCCAGCCAGCGCTCGATGTGGACAGCGTACCAGCCGGGCACCAGGCAGCGTCTCTGCAGAGTCCTCAGGTCGGCCGGGGCCCACTCTCCGGTCGTGATCACGTCGTAGAAGTTAAACCTCAGGGCGGCCGGGTCCTCGTGTGAGCGCTGGTGCTTTGACGGAAACGTCGACTATGAGTTACTCCTGATTCTGCACAGGGTCTGTGCATGCATGTTTGACGTGTGTACGCGTGCCTCCCTCATGTCAACATAGTTACACAGATGCTTGATTGGTTTTAGAATAAAGGTTACAGTGAAAAGTGCTGACACTGAAACCCAGGCCTTGTCACGTCGCTGAGTCACAGCAGAGCTTTCCGTACACATCGGGCAGCGTGCGGACGGGCTGGGGCTGCCCACCAGCCCCAACGTTCGGGTGCAGGACCAGGGGCAGAGTGCAGGGGTCTCCTTAGGGGTCTGACCAGCAGTGAGGGTGTCCGGGACGGGACCAGACTGATGGCCCTGGCCGAGGCTCACATGTTACCGAGTTCATGGTTTTGTCACAGTGACCTCTGCGGGTTCTGACACGTCTGCAACATCACCAATGATGTGTCTCTCTCACACTGATGTTTCTCTCTCTTTCCCCTCTTCCTCTCTATCTAAAAATCAATAGAAAGATATCCTCAGGTGAGCATTAGCAACACAATATCCCTGTGTGGCAGGGAGACGGGGCCGGGGCAGAAGTCTCCCCCTGGCTCTCCTAAGGTTCCCACCTGGCCTGGATGCCAGCCCTTCACCGCCAACCATCGCTCCCAATGGGAGCCACTGGGAGAGCCATCGAGTCAGGACAATCTCACAGGCACTCAGAGAGCCTGTTCCCAGACAGAGGCCGCAGGAGAACCCGGGGCAGAGCTGTGACGCGAGCCCCCTTCAGAGAGGTCAGCGCTGGTCAGGGAGACAGCGACCTGCAGGTGGTAATAACATCTACATCCGCCCGGAGGTGAGTGATGTTTGCCGTGATCGGGAGACCCGGACGAGATCAGCTCTGAATGAGAGGCGAAGGGATCTGGTCAGTGGCTGAGGCTTTGGAGCTAAAATCTAATGAGCAAGATGTCGATAAGCAGAAAGGACCACGGGACCAGGAGGACGACGTCGTGAAGCAGGTGTGGGGCGGGGATGGTGAGAGCAGCAGCCGGGGCCTAGGACGGAGGGCACTGGGCACATCGCGGTGAGTGACAGTGGGCACCATGGGTGGGTTCAGGACAAAAACAACTGAAGAGTAAAGATGAGTAAGAAGTCAGTGATGCCCGGCCGGTGTGGCTCAGTGGATGGAGCGTCGTCTCATGGACTGAGAGGTCCCGGTTTGATTCCCGGGCAGGGCACAGGCCTGGGTTGTGGGCTTGGTCCCCAGTAGGGGCCGTGCAGGAGGCAGTCAATGGATGTGTCTCTCTCACATCCATGTTTGTATCTCCCTCTCCCCTCCTCTCTCTCTAAAAAATAATAAGAAGTGGTCAGTGTTTCGAGTGGCTGGTGAGTGGTGGGCCGACTGGTGGAACCCATGTGACCATGAGGTCCTGTCAATCTGCACGGCCACCGACGTCTGTGTGTGGACGCTGTGCCAGATGCAGAGACCTTCGCAGTCAACACAACAGGCAGACACCGCGGGGCTCCCACAGAGACACTGCCTGCACACGGCAGAAACCACGGGGCTCCCGCAGAGACACACCGCCTGAACACGGCAGACACCGCGGGGCTCCCGCAGACACACCGCCTGCTCACGGCACAAACCGCGACACCTGCACACAGGTGCCCTGACGCGGAACCTCGTCTGCCCCAAAGCAACCGCTTCCCTTTATGTCCCTGTGACTACAGAAAAATGTAGCCAGAAGTCACCAGGGGGCACACTTTACAGAAAACATCACCATGCTCCTCTGGGAGGCCCTGACAAGAACGTGGGGTGCGAATGTGGGGGTCCCGAATTTCACCTGCTGGAACTGGGGTGTCCAGGAGCCTCCTCCTGGCACTACAGTGACGGAAAGTCTTATGAAAAGTGACTCCTTTCAAGCGCGTATGTTTAGAGACTCACTCGAAGGGGCAGGTGCTGTTCTCTTGTATTCCAATCTTCGGGGGCATTGGCTCCAGGCCGCGGCCCCGTCTTCTGCTGGGTCACACAACCTGCGTCCCCGCGTATGCAGCCGGAGTTGTTAACGAGGGCTGCACGTGCCAACGCTCTGGGCACGCGTGCTAAAGTAAGTTCTCTTGCTTTGCAGGATGACTTTTCATAAAGTGAGAAGAGACCTTTCTGCATTTCAGAGGAGACGCTCACTCACGGGTTCGAATCCAGCAGGTCACCCGGCCACTCGCGGTCCCAGCTGGCGGCGTCGGTCTGTCCCTAGACTGCCCCTCACTATGGTCCTGGGCAGCACACGTGTACTGAAGAAATGCTGAGTCAGACATCCACGGACGCACTCGTGGCTGGGACTCCGTCCATGGCGTCGTCACCTCCATGATTCAGGACCCGCGACGTCCATCAGGCCTCGGGCAGGCCGGCCTTCCTCTGACCAGCTGGTTCTCCCCGGCCCAGGGCTCACACCCTCCGCCCGACCGGCTGCCTCCCTCCCGAACTCTTCTTCCTCAGGTGAACCGTCCAGCTGCTCAAAGGACGGAGAGGCCTTCGCGGGCACTTTGGCTTCTCTGCCCCGGACCTTATTCTTTTAATCAATTTATCGGGTGACACTGGTTACGAAATTACACAGGTCTCGGGCGTGCGATTCTACGATGCGTCATCTGTATAAAGTCCAGGCTCCTTCCATCACCGTGTAGCCCCTCTGCCCTCTCCTGCTCCCCACCCCCTTCTCTCTGGTCATCACCACGCATCAATTTATCGGGTGACACTGGTTACGAAATTACACAGGTCTCGGGCGTGCGATTCTACGATGCGTCATCTGTATAAAGTCCAGGCTCCTTCCATCACCGTGTAGCCCCTCTGCCCTCTCCTGCACCCCAACCCCTTCTCTCTGGTCATCACCACGCTGTTGTCTGTGTCCATGAGTCTGTCTTTAATTTGCTCAGTCCCTTCCCCCTCTCCGCCAGCCCCTCCCCCCCCGGCCTCTTGCCTCCGAGTCGTGAACCTGCCTCCAGCTCAGACCTTCCCAACAAGGGCTGCCTCCCCTCCGCCACGTGGCCCCCTCCACGTCTCCATGTACACGGGGACACGACGTCCTCACTGCACGTCGTCGGGAGGTTCTCGGAACTGAGCGGCACCATGCAGCTGGGCCAGTACTGCCGAAGGCGGACGCACACGTTCAACGCCTCGTGTCTCGTCCACCTCCCGCGAGAAGGGCTGACGCACACGTTCAAATCCTCGCTTCTCGTCCACCTCCCGCGAGAAAGGCTGACGCACACGTTCAACGCCCCGCGTCGCGTCCACCTCCCGCGAGAAGGGCTGACGCACACGTTCAACGCCCCGCGTCTCGTCCACCTCCCGCGAGAAGGCGGACGCGCACGTTCAACGCCTCGCGTCGCGTCCACCTCCCGCGAGAAGGCGGACGCACACGTTCAACGCCTCGCGTCGCGTCCACCTCCCGCGAGAAGGCTGACGCACACGTTCAACGCCCCGCGTCTCGTCCACCTCCCGCGAGAAGGCGGACGCACACGTTCAACGCCCCGCGTCGCGTCCACCTCCCGCGAGAAGGCTGACGCACACGTTCAACGCCCCGCGTCGCGTCCACCTCCCGCGAGAAGGGCTGAGGCACACGTTCAACGCCCCGCGTCGCGTCCACCTCCCGCGAGAAGGCGGACGCGCACGTTCAACGCCCCGCGTCTCCTCCACCTCCCGCGAGAAGGGCTGAAGGCGCCGGCGCTGCTCCAGGACCTCCGGCGGCCCGCGGGGCCCTCTCTCGCCCTGACCTGTTTCCACCGGTTCTCTCGCTGCAACCCGAGCATCCCCCGACAGTCCCCACCGCCCCGTTTCCTCCTGCCGCCTCTGCCCACGGCCACGCCGCGACCCAGAGCTGCCGCCCGCCCCGGCTCGTACCTGGTACCAGGAGTACGCCCTGTCGGACGGGTCGATGAGGATGGCGATGATCTTGGCTTTGGGCACCAGCGAGGCCGCCCGCCGGGGAGCTTCTTCCGAGTGGAAGTAGTTCGCGCTCTTCTCAAACAGGAAGTCGCCGCTGACGTTGGACGGCGTCGGGAAGAAGTCCATGTACCTGAGGCAGAGAGAGACGGCCTGAGGGCGCCACCCCGCCACGCGCCGGCCGCAAGATCCATTTCACGTCCGCTCCGCCCAGTGCCAGGCCCTGCGCTGTCGCTGTCGCGATGCGGGCGCCCCACACGCCCCGAGTGTGCGAGGGGACCTTCGGGCAGGAGGCGGAAGGGGCAGGTGGGCTGCTGGGAGCAGGAGGCTCCCTCCCGTAGGTTCCCGGGCGGCTGTGCCAGCCAAGCCGGACCCAGCCAGACCCGGCTTCCCCTTGGCAGACAGCAAGCGGCACCATGTTGCCCAGTGAACAGTTCAAAACAGTAAATTCCTGTTTGCAAACTTCTCACACTGATCAAAGCGCCCAGAGGGAGCCGTCAGCCGGGGAGCCAGGAGGCACTGAGCAGATGAAACCTCCGCGGGCTGTGGTGGGCCCTGCACCGTGAGCGCGGAGCGTCTGTCCATCTGTCCGTCCGGGGAACCAAGGGTGCCTGCCAGTGGCTCAGCAGCCCTCGGCAGGTGCACTCGTGTGGGAAGTCCCTCCGTGGACATGACGGGTCAGTGTGTCCAGAGGCTAATTCAGGGCAGGGTTTTAACGACCTGGGAACCCTGCCTGCAGCTCAGCACCTGTGCACCCTTACACCCGGACGGGCGCGGAGTCTGCGCGGAGGACACTGGTGCCCTCGCCGTTTGTTACTCTGTTTCCCACGGAAGGGGTGAGGTCATCACTTTCCTCCCTGACCTGGTGTCCACTGAGCCCACAGACTCGCCTGCAGGCCCAAAGTCCACGGAGTCTTGACAGTGCGATTGCCTCCTGAGATCGCGTGTGAGGGGCACATCTCTGCTGAGGGGTCTGCTCCCTGTGCTGGGCCCCACCCTGGCCGTGGTGCCCCGACAGGATGGGGTCCTGGGTGATGGGACGCAGCTCCGCGCCGCAGCGGGGTGCTCCGAGGGCTGTCCTCAGGGACCTGGGACCTGGACGCCGCCCCCTCGCTGGAAACTGGCAGAGCTGGGAACACCTGGGGAACAGACCCGTCCAACGCCAGGCTCGCTCTATCCTATTCTGGGAAAATGCTACGATTCAAAATGTGTTCACAGTGTGTCAAATGCACAGTAATACTCCTTTTATGCATGTGTGACTAGCATCTGTGTGGTGAGCACTCTGTTCCGGGCATGACAAATACCAGTGTACACTGTAGTACAACGTTCACCGTCTACAGGCTCATGAAGATCCATGTCACGGACTGTAAAATGCAACAACTTGCTGATTTATTTGTTTCCTCGGGCATCATTGTGAAGACAAATAATGTACCTAGTTAGAAAAAATTCTAGGCACCGTGAAATAATATGCTTAAGGGGAATTTTAAATATCCTTATGAATAATTCTCATGAAAAATATTCTATAATCCCCTTTATTCTATCAGATTAATTTACCAGAAACATATTATCATTACGGCACTCTCCAAATCAAATTACAGGCCACACTGATCAAACAGGTCGTCATTAGGAATCAATTACTAATTCACGACAGTAGACACAGATGTGCCACGTGCCCTGTGGTTACGTGGTGCCCGTGGCACCGCCGTGGCCGGGCTGTGGGTGCACAGGCTTGTGGTGTTTTCCTCACCAGTCGATCCCCTTGTGGTAGTTGTTCCCATTGAAGAACTGCACCTCCTCGAAGGTCCGGGGGCTGGGCAGGTTGCTGACGATGGAAGGGTGCATCAGAAGAAACAAATACAGGGCCGTTGTTCCTGGGGCCAGCGAGAGAAGAGGAACATGATTTTAGCGGGAGCTTTGCTGGAAAAGTAACATTCAATTCATCAAAGTGATCTCCTCAAAGTCAATGAGGTGCATTTCCTGTGACAACCATCTAAGTGTTTAGTCTTTATGGTTCTAGTGACCTGGTACCAGCATTGGCCAAAGTAAGCAGGCCGAGGTACAGCCCAGGGAGAGCTTCAGAAATCGGGGTTCGGTTCCCCCCGGGGCCGGGTTGGTGGCTACAGCATCAAGGGTGCCCAGCACTGCACCTGAACCCACGGGGTCCCCAATTAATACTATCTTCCGGTCAGTTAAACACAATCAAACTATTCAGCAGACGATGACTAGCGCGACTCCTGCACGTCCCTATGGTAAGATCGGTGACAACCCTTCAACAGAAACCCCTGTGTGGCCTCCCGGGAAGTGTGCGTGGACGTGGCTCGCGGGAACAGGCACTCACAACACAGGGAGCGGGGCCCCGGGATAGAGCACAGAGAGCTATCCAACATGGGAGGAAGTGATGTAGATGTGCCAAGTCACGGAGGGCTTCCAGGAGGAAGCGTTTTCTAAGGTCGTACCTTAGACACATGTGTGTTCCCTGAAAGGTTAAAGCGGGGGCAGGATGGGGCAGCCCAGGCTGAGGGTGAGGCCGAGCAGACTGGCTGGCAGGACCCTGTGCGGGGGTCACAGCTGCAGGTGATCTGGGCGGGCTGAGGACGAGGCCGAGCAGACCGGCCTGCAGGACCCTGGGCGGCGGTCACAGCTGCAGGTGATCTGGGCGGGCTGAGGACCACGGCAGAAGGGACTGCAACGTGCCAGCGCGCAGCTCTCACTGACCCAAGATGCTCCCAGAGAAGGCTGTCCCTCAGGAACACGGGGACCCGGAGACTTTGCTGGGTTCCTGGCCCTGGGACAGCCGGGGGCAGGCTCACGGCTGGGCTGGCGGGACCGTAGGGATGGCAGCTGGGACAGGAAGCAAGGAGGCCCCAAGAGAATTGGGGTTTTGTTCTCACACCTCAGCTCCCAGGAGCTGGAGCTGCTGGGTCCCCAGGGTAATGAGCTCACCCGGCCACCGAGCTGGGGTGGAGGCTGTGGTTAGAGCAGGGCAGCCACAGGTAGGAGGGCGAGCCACGTGGATGGAGACAGTCCGACCTGCAGACGGGGGCTCCTGGTGGCTCGGGAGGGCACATTTAGTGAGCGCCCTGAGGGTCTCATGACTAATGCGGAAGGCCTTCTAACAGTGAACATGTGTGAACTCAAACCATATGAAGTCAGTGGAAATGGAAGGAGTCGGAACAGGCTGAGGGCTGGTGAGAGGCTGGGAGATGCGGAGAGGAGACAGGAAGCTGCGAGGGGCAGCAGCGTGAAGAACCGTCTAACTTGCTGCTGACCATGAGGCACGGGAAGGAGAGAAGGTGACGGGCATACCCGGGACAGGCAGGGCAGCCGGAGGGGACTCCAGAGGCATTATTTCTGAGCTACGGGAAAATGTTTACCTGGTGTGAGAATGAAGCATGTGTGTGTTCGCATGTGTGTGGCATGTGTGCAGCATGTGTGTCCAAATGCATGCACATGTGTATGTGTTGTGTGTCTGCCTGTACACTTATATGTGCACATAGCCATGAGTATGCACACGTGTATGTGTTGTGCGTGCATGTATACATGCGTGCACACGTGTGCACATATGTACGTGTTGTGTGTGTACGTGCATGTATATGTGCATGCACACATGTGCACGTGTGTGAATGTGAGAAAGATTGAGTGCTTTTGAGACACCCAAGAGAGCTGAGAATATTGAAAGTTTAATATCCCTGAGATATTGAGAATAGACAGATCCAGGGCAAAGACAAAGAAATAGTTTCTAATTATGGCCGAATATAGAAAATGAATACCTTTATAACCTCCCTCAGTAGCATGTTCCCTCACCCTGATGCTCACAGGATGGCACCCAGGTCTCCCCTGCACCCCAGGAAGTCAAAGCCTGGTGTTCCACGCCCCCTGCATACTCCAGGGACAGGAGGGACACTGAGGCCCATGACAGAAGCAGGGATGTGAACATGTGTTTGGACATTCAGCCAATGGCCATGAGACCTGGTCCACGGCCTCTGCGTGGCCTGTGCATCTACTGTCCTGGGTTTCCATCTGTCCCGAACGTCAGGTCTGTCCAGTGCTTTGTGGAGGAAACAGAAAATCCTCGTTCCTTGGAACATCTGAGATACCTCATTCCACCTACAATCAATCCCTTTTCGACCTGTCGGGGGGCCGGTCTGTCGTGAGAAATGACTTGACGATGGAGACATGACCCACTTTCCACAGCCGTTCAGGCCAATGTGCTTCGCACTCACAATTCCTGTGCTAAAGGGAGCCCCCCTCCTTCCCGGGCATGTCACGGTTTGACCGGACTCATGAGGCGGCATTTCTGTGCACAGGACCCGAGGATGGGGATCTCGCGACACCTGAGCCCCACCCGAGCACCTCCGGCTGCTGGGTCCCGCTGGGACTCAGCTGTGGGAAACGGGGCATGCCTCCACCCGGTGCCGCCTCACAGCTCAGCAACAGTGGCCGGAAGGCCACTCGGTGCCTCACGCTCATTGCAAGGGATGCATGAGCCACGTGGAGGCCAGGTCCCCGTGGAGATCTGCGTCCACCCCCACGGGCCCACGGCCTCCCGCAGATGGAGCAGGAGCTCCACCCACTGGAGCCGCAAGGAGAACAGAGAGACCCCTGACGGCTGTGGGAACGGGATGAGGAGTCATCACAGTCACACGAGGGAGCATTTCATAGCACCCCGAACGTCATCGTCCCTTCTTTGTAACTTTGTCTGTCTTGGGAAAGCCACGCCCCAGCTGAAACCTTGATCGTGCCGGTCTGAGTCGGTCAGACATCACATCTGAACCAGGTTAAGCTGCTGTCTTTGTGAGCGCAGCCAGGTGGACACGGACAGACCTGCACCAGGCAGGACAGCGCTCGGGGCAGACGGGAGACCCGTCTGCAGTCAGATCTGTAGCGTAATTTACAACACAGGACTGTTTCTTCAGCAGTCATTCCAGAGTTAGGACCGCTGCACAGTCCTGAAAATTTATTGATTTTAGAGAGAGAAGAAGAGGGAGAGAGAGAGATTGGTTGTTCCACTCATTTATGCATCCACTGGTGGATTCTTTTTTTTATTCTCACCTGAGGGTACTTTTCTATTTATTTGCAGATAGAGTGGGAGGGGGAGAGAGAGAAACATTGACGTGAGAGAGACACATCAACTGGTTGCCGCCCGTAAGTCCCCGACCAGGGCCGGAGACAAACAGCAACCGGGTACGTGCCCTTGACCGAAATCGAACCCGGGACTCATGATTCCAAGGGCTGGCACTACCACTGAGCACAACCGGCTGGGCTGTTGGTGGATTCTCGCGTGTGCCCTGACCAGCGATCGGCCTGTGGCATTGCATATTGGGGTGACTCTGACCGCCTGAGCTGCCGGCCAGGACAGTAACATTCTCTGCGCACATTTTGAGCAGTCACAAGGGTGGCAGGTCTGAGAACGTGAGCTGCGCATGTAACTTACTGCTGGGATACAATTATGCTCCTGGCGGGGAGATGGCAACACTAAGACCCGAAAGTCTAGAGACTGTGCCCAGGACCCTGCCGCGGGCTGATCGCACGAGTCCCTGAGCCCGAGTGTGGGCCGGGATCGTCTGCGTGGTGCGCTCCCTGTGAACACCTTCCCATCCCAGCAGTGATTCCGAGTGCAGCAGTTCGACAGAAACTTGAATTGATCAGGACCTGAGCCTCGTGACTGAGATGTCACATCCTGAAGAAGGTACTGAGATGTCACATCCTGAAGAAGGTACGACGCGTTCCAATTGAAAGTGTCATCTGGTTGCTGAGATGCACCCCCTCTCTTCCGCCCTCGCCCTCTGCGCACGAGCAGACCCGCGGGTGCCTGGGAAAAGCAGGCCAGGCCTGGACGCACCGACTGCGTATTGAAATGCAGGCACGCAGAGTATCTGAAGTCATCCCGACATTGAAAGAGAATCGCTGTGTCTCCGTGCTGCCGACACATTGAATCGAGTGCTTTTTAAAATGCTGGAATCCAGGAGCTAATCAGGCACAAACCACAAAAGGCAGAGGCTAAAAATCAGGTCGCAGACCGTAAGCTCTGAGTTGTCGAACATCGCCGCCTGTGCGGAGGTTTCTACATGGAGCGATAAAGCTTCCGCCCCTGAGCCAGCCCCAGCAGCACCGCGCGCAGAGCCAGTACAGGCAGGAAGAGCGGCGGGGCTGCGCGGGGTCTGCTGCTACCCACGCCAGCCTGTCCCACCATGCCGTGGGGCCACTCACCTGTTTTCTGCGGCCCGATGACGAGGAATTTCGGTAGGTGGTCACAGGTCTTCTCTCTGGACCAGATGTCCCTGTGCCGTTTGTCGTCACAGGGGTTCTGCAGAGAGGAAGAGGATGAGGTTCCACGGTGCAGGCCGCCCGGCTGCCCTAGGCAGGAAGGTTCGGAGGGCGGATGGAGCACGTGCCTGACCCCAGACCTGGGCTCCGACCCGGGCTCAGACCCGGCTCTGGTTCCGATTCTCAGGGCGCACTCCCATGCGGCCATCCCCGCCCACCCTCCTTCCTTGAGGGGCTCGGTTCCAGCCAGCTGGGTCACGGTTCCCTCAGTGCACCTCGGCCTCACGCCCCGAACCTGACCGGACCACAGGTTCTCTGCCCTCCTCTTTCCTGCCGCGCCCGAGGCCAGGGCTCCAGACCTGGTCTCCTCCCTGTCCTCACACTCTGTGCTCCTCGCCGCCAGCCCTGCTGGTCCGCAGGGTGGCCCAGCTCGAGCCCGTGGCATGTGCAATAGTGTCTGCAGCCCCTCGGCCTCCCGCCCTCCTCTGTCATCGCCCGGCCGCTGTGGGGACCAGACTCCGCTTCTCCAGCTCAGTCTCAGACGCCCCAGGCCCTGTCCGAACTGGGACACCTCTGATAATTAAAAGAGCCCTTACGTGAAAAGGCCACAGTTTCTGAAATGTTCACTGATGGGCACGTTGGCTTATTATATGGGCCATGCACAAAGAATCACACTAGAAATCATGCTCACAAAATTCTTTATAAAACACATGTTGGGCACTCAAACAACCTGCTTTTCATCTGGGTGTTGAAAGTGGCATCGGGCCCTGGCCAGTTTGGCTCAGCAGTTAGAGCGTCGGCCTGCGGTCCAGAGAGACCCGGGTTCGGTTCCCGCTAAGGGCACGTACTTCGGTTGCGGTTTGTCCCCGGCCCTGGTGGGTCGTGCGGGTGGCAGCCACTCGTGTCCCTTCACGTCGATGTTTCTCTCTCTCTCTCCCTCCCACTCTATCTGTACAAAAAAAAAAAAAAAAAAAGAAAGTGGCATCGGGTGCCCATTTGTCTGGTTCAGGCTGGCGTCCTGTGCGCAGTTCGTCTGCCTGTGGTCCCCAGTCCTCTGAAGAGCCACTGTTGCCAGTGTGATCTTAGGCGTTTACCTTTCCGTCGAATCAACGGCAGTTCCCTCGCCCGCCGTCCCCTCGCCCGCAGTCCCCTCGCCCACCGTCCCCTTGCCCGCAGTCCCCTTGCCCGCAGTCCGTTTCAAAGGGGCTTCATGTCACTGAGCTTGTAACTCCGACACTTCCAAATCACGTCTTCCCTATCCGCTGCCAAGTTGTTGTTTTTTATTTTAATCCTCACCTGAGGATGTGTTTGTGTTGATTTTAGAGAGAGGGGAAGGGAGAGAGAAACACCTACAAGCACCTCCCGTGCACACCTCCTGCGGGATGGAACCTGCTGGAGCAGGAGACGGCACCCAGCGGGGGGCCAGGGCTCAGCCTCTCGTCTCCGACTGCGAGCTACCTGCTCGGTCCAGGTGAGGTGATCTCAGGGCAAATTCCGTGAAGGAGAAATGTTTTCAATTCTATTTTCTTTTCATACCGAAGTGTCTACATATTAGAGAACAAATATTTTCACAGTAATTTTCCATTGAGAGTGTCTTTTTTTTTTGACAAGTAGATTTCCAAAGTAAAACGTCGAATAAATTGCCTTTGATTATGATTCTTTTAACCATGTTGTCAAACACAGGTTCCGCAGACCCGGAGATTTCTCCGTCGCGTCCCATCTGAGCTGAGGATAACCTTATCCAAGTAACCGCGTGGATGCCAGGAGACGCAGCTGCGGTCAGACTCCCGAAGCCCGGGCAAGGGTGCCAGTGACACCCGTGTCCTCTGAATTCTCGCTTCGTCATTTGCTTAGTCTCTTCCCTTTTTCTTTTAAAGCTTTGCTTTGTTTTAAAGGTGGCAAAAGGCACTGAGGGGAAACATGTTAAATATATTTTTTTCCTTGAAATAATATTTTTCTCAAACATGATTTCAAAGCTAATTCTTGTCCACTCTGCAGCATGAAGGGCCCAGGGCACTCAGGTCCCCGGGACTCACTAGCCTGCCGGTGACGCCATGTGGTTGGACCCGGGAGGGGTGTGCGGTGAGGACCTGGCCACCTCTGTGGACATTTGCTCGCAGAGGGTGGAGACCCACCAGCAAAGCTGTGGAGCCCAGCACCTCGGGGACCTCAGAGGTCAGTGTCGGGTGTGCTGGGACACCCTCTCCGAGGGAAGGTGCACCCCTGTCCTTCGCCGCTGAGGAAGAGTGTCAGGCTCTGTGTGTCTGGGGGCAGCATTTGCTGCTCTGGGTCCCAGCTGGGTGAGGCAGAGCTGCGGATCCGAGTGGAACCCAGAACCAGGAACTGCCCCCCAGGAGGCAACACTGAGGCCCAAGGCAGCCCTCCCAGGCCACACAGTGGCGTGACCCTCCCCAGGTCGGTACCCCGGGTTCTCCATCCCGCTGTGACGCTGGAGACAGGCCGGGAGGAGAGGACCCCGTTCCCCGAGTGCCTGTGGCTGCACGGCCCACGTGCAGTTGACAGAGGCCGCGTGACTGAGTGGAGACCGAGACCGAGCCGCCCTGAGAGCTCGAAGCCCACAGGCGTCGACGGGTGAACACGCAGGATCTGACCCTCCGACTGTCTCCGCGGGCACTTCTGGTTTCTGTAAGGAGAGTTTTCTTGAGAGGAAACCCTGTTCTCTCACGACTGTGCTATCAGAACGAAGGGGGTGTGAGCCACCAGGAACCGGGATGTAATTCTAGGAGCCCCGCCCTCCAGGGCCGCGCTGAGGAGGGCTCACTTGGGGGCCGAGTTCCGTGGGCCTGGGCTCCCCCCATGAATCGTGAGAGACGGCCTCCGAGCAGGTGCACGGACACGCTCCGGGGCCTGCCACGCCGTCCGAGGACTGACACTCCGGGGCCTTTTTAATCCGGTGGCAAAGCAGATTCACCTACGTGGTGGCCGGTGCTAATGAAAACTTACAGAAGGAACCGAAGGACAGTGAAGAGATGTGAAGCGTGTCGACAGTAAAAATAAAGTTAAAAATAGATGCGAAGATGATCACTTTGCACATCTTTGAATTTGTGGTAATAAAGTGTGAATTGAAACTCTCAAGAAAAAGGACCGTTGACTTGGTTTTTCAGAGTGAACTACACTAAGAGAGAACGCACGCTTGCTGACATGGAAAAGAACCCAAACTTTTGATTTCGAGAAAGTGTGAGCATGGCAGACATGCGCAGATGAACCCAGCCCGACTAGGATTGTGAGGACTGGGCTGCGGAACGTGGATTAGCACCAGCAATGTGTTTGCAGAACGTGGATTAGCACCAGCAGTGTGTTTGCAGAACATGGATTAGCACCCATGATGTGTTTGCAGAACGTGGATTAGCACCCATGATGTGTTTGCAGAACGTGGATTAGCACCAGCAGTGTGTTTGCAGAACGTGGATTAGCACCAGCAGTGTGTTTGCAGAACATGGATTAGCACCCGTGATGTGTTTGCAGAACGTGGATTAGCACCAGCAGTGTGTTTGCAGAACGTGGATTAGCACCCACAATGTGTTTGCAGAATGTGGATTAGAACCCTCGATGTGTTTGCAGAACGTGGATTAGCACCCGCGATGTGTTTATGTTTGTATGGTCGATGACGTTTCAGCAGAGTTCGTTCGTGATTATAAACATGAGCGGGAAGGCGGAGACCCGGGGACGAGCTCCACGGTACCAGGTGCTGCATCTGTCCTTAGCCACCTGCAGCCTCGGACTCCGTTCACGACTGACCAGTCTGCCAGGTCATCTTCACCAGGAGCCATGTCCCAGCTGACCTGAACAGTTCCCTGAAGCCCAGCTGCCTCCTCCTCCTCGGCCGCCTCCGAGGTACAGAGTGTGCGTAGCTCAGGGGAGAGGTCCGCACTCTGTCCTCTGCAGACCAGGCACAGGGACGAGGACTCACCAATAAAGTGAGAGCCTCTCATGAATCATCTGCTCCTGCGGTCTGTACGTATTCTCACAAGTTGTTTGGATGATAACGATGAACATTTCTAAACGTGTATCAGTGACAGCGACAATAACAGCAATCCGTGGGCTCTCTGAAGATTCTTCTGATTAGTTCTGTCGTTTATGCCGAACTGCCCCAGAGTTTGCCCCTAGGATACTGCTCGAAGTTAACGGTCCGGACTGCAGGTGTTTTCTCTGTGTCTGGGTATGTTCCGTCATCTCCACCCCCATGAACCAGCACAGCACTTCACACCGAACAGACGCGCAGTCTTTAGATCATCACGTGCCTGGTTTGTACGGGGGCTGGCGCGGCTTTGATTGCTTCCGCTCCTTGACAGTGTCCCCGGGATCGACACGGTTACCACAAACACGAGTCTCTAGGTTAAAAAACTCGCACGGTTTAACAAATACAAATTCTTCATTAATAAAACCATTTTCTCTAACTGAAAAGGAAGAGGAGCTAGAGGTTGGGACCTCTGACACCTTTTACGTCTCAGTGTCGTTAAGTTGGCCCCTTTCCTGTGTCTGTGCCTTGGATCATGGACGTCTCAGCAGTGAACATGTGTGAGGAAGGAAGGGGTTCACTCACAGCGACGCACCCGTTCCGGGAAGGTGTGGGCACACTGCGTTGCCTTCATGAAGCTCAGCGTCACCTGGTGTGATCCACACACCACAGAGCGACGTATCAGCTGGGTATCTGTCTCTCTGAGTGATACACTGGACAGACGGCCACGCGGCTCCCGGGCATGGGCGAGGAAACCCTGTATTTGGCATCTCACACCAGCAGCCATGCCTCACACCCGGGGGCTCAGTAACACGTTGGGTGGACCTGGCTCTCTCCAGACGGGAGCAGGACCCGCGGAGTTAAGAGTAACAGCTCGAGGAGACAGAGGGGTCACAGTGAGTTTCGCAGGGGTTTCTCATGAATGACGATGCTTCTCCCTGGGCACTGCTTGGCAGGGGCTCTCTGCCCTACCCTCTGCAGCCAGCGATGGACCCGATCGGTCGCCTGGTCAGTGCAGAGGTGCGTGAAGAACAGGGCAGAGGGAGGGTGCTCGAGACAGCGGCTGGAAGGCGTGGAGACGGAGAGGCTCCAGGTGAGGCTGAGCTGTCATGAAAGGGGTCCATGCTGCCAGTTTTCCATGAGCAGATCTGAGCCTCGCGAAGGGTGCGTTAGATTTAAAGGAACAAAGGACATACTGAAGACAACTGTACTAAGCACAAGGCACAAAGGCTCTTTGCTTTTATCTGCACCCCCGGAGCTGTGCACATCCCCATCGGGGGCTCATTACAGGGTCTCTGACTGCGGCGCCTTGGTTTCTCTTCCCCTAGGTCCCCAGAGCCGGGACATCTCAGGGCAAGCAGAACTCACACGGCGAAGACATGAAAGAGCCGCAAAACAACGTCCTCGATGCCAAAGTCCCAACCAAACGAAGTGACAAACAAAACCTCCGAAATACAACACAACAAAAAAGCGCCAACATGTAACCCATAAAATAAACAACACGTGTCTGTGCAGGGAATAAAGGTGCTGGACAGAGAGGCCGTGTGACATGCAGCTTCGCTATCCTGGCCCCCACCAGGCACCCACAGCATCCCCTTCCCGGGAGACGCCCCCTACCTGCCAGAGAGGGTCTCTCTGCTCCGGGAAGAGCTCAAAGTACTTGCGGGCCAGCTGCACGGGCGGCAGGGTCTGCAGTTTCAGGTTGGTCCAGCTCTGCACGAAGTTGGCCAGGTTCACAAAGGTGTACGACCCTAGCCGGTCGTTCCCGTAGTTGGACAGGTGGGTCATGAAAATGCTGATCTGCAAGATGAACAAGAACGGCCATGAAACAGCCCAGCAGAAGCTCAGAAGCGGCCGACGCGCTCTGGGCGCGCCTTCCCCCAACCTTGGAATTTGGTGGGAAGTACGATCATCCTTCTAGGTGTGTTATGGACTGAACTGTAGCCCCCCCAAAATTCGTATGTTGAAACTGATCCCCAATGTGACTGTATTCAGAGATAAGGCCCCTCGGGAGGTGATGGAGGTTAAATGAGGTCATCAAGGTGGGGCCTTCATCTGATAGGTCTGCGCTCTTAGAAGAAGAGGTTCTCTCTCTCTCTCTCTCTCTCTCTCTCTTTCTCTCTCTCTCTGTCTCCCCCCACCCCCGCACAGTGCAGAGAAGAGGCCCAGTGAGGACACAGCCAGATGGCACTGTCTGTGGCCAGGGAGAGGTCTCATCAAAAATGAGCTGGATCGGCACGGCCTCAATCACGAACTCCGGCCCCCGGAGCCGGGAGAAAACAAACGTCTGTGTTTACCGCCCGAGTCTGTGGTACCCTGCTGGGGCCGCCTGTGCACACAGTCACAGCTGGGAAGCCACACGCCTGGCTTCGACTTCCAACATCACTCTTGAACCCACTCCTACAGTTCGGACTGAAATCGGGCTTGGCTCCCCTCACTGTCCACTCAGTGTTGGTGTTACTCTCCATATGTTTCTCCCCGTTCGGAGACCCAATATTCTGATAACGTCCAGAGCAGTGGAGAAGCAGAGTCACCAGTGGGGAAACCAAACGGCCGCCCCAGACCTCCTCTGCGGGAGGCGTGTCCAGGGGCTCAAGAACACCAGTGTCTTTCTGGTCTAACGGGAACTTTTACTGCAATAAAGAAACCGTGACTGTTTGCACGAAACACACTGAGCTTAGCCACACCCTCGTCCACACTTACTGATCCTCCTACAATCTTCCCGCCTCAGGATTGACTCCAAAGCACAGCATTTCAGTAGTGTGTCTGCCTCAGAGACGGGAAAAAGTGACGTCTAGACTGACTGCTGCTGAGAGAATATCAGAAACTTTGAGTGCGGATGTAGACACAGTGCGGGATGAACCCGTCAGCGAGCGCGCTGGGCTTCTGAAATACCAAACCCAGAGGACCTGTGCAGTCTCAGCCTAAGGCAGGGAGGGGATTAGCACAACCGATAAATGGCAGTTCCGCTCCTACCCCCACGGGGCTAGATCCTCCTCCCGCACTGGCTCGCCTGAAAGTGCTGCTGAGCCTCCTTGAGTTACTCATCGTCTCTCCTACAAATACTTCAGAGCGACTAACGTAGCATGATCAAGTACGTTGTTACCTTCATTAGAAAAGCAAGAGTGACGTAACGTTACAAATAACAACACGGACACAAGTATGACGGGTGATGTCAACCAGAAGAATCATAGCACGGGTGGTCGGTGGAAGTCCAGGGCTGCAGGCTGCTTCTGCAGGGTGCTTTCTGCCTCTTCTTCGAAGGGTTCGTGTTCTCGGCGTGTTTATTTGGGTGATTTGGGCTTTTGTGGAAATGAAAACAGGTTTTCAGTAACCAGGGCAACAGGATGACCGGGCAGCCGGGCAGGGACGCCAGCCCGGCTGTGCGCAGAGTCCGGCTCCCACGCCCCCGCGCGCCCCTGGGCAGCTGCAGATGCCCAAAGACTGTGCCTTTTGCCTTAACAACCACAAAACACTAAGTCAATACCAGAATTTAAAACTGGGGCCCTGTAAGGTGTGAATCAGACCCGGGTTCCCTGAAGGCCCTTTAACCGGGGAGACACACCCCCTTTCTCTGCATTCCACAAGAGGATGCAAGGCCTCGGGGAAAAGCTGTTCAAACGACTAGCCAAACTTCTCGCCATGGTTGAAGGTGGGGAGTGTAAATATAAAATAATAACTGAGCCGGCTGGTGTGGCTCAGAGGTTCAGTGTTGACCCTGCACCAAGAGGTCGCCTGTTTGATTCCCAGTCAGGGCACATGCCCAGGTTGTGGGCCTGATTCCCAGTGGGGGGCGTGCAGGAGGCGGCCAGTCGATGTTCTCTCTCATCGATGTTTCCATCTCTCTCTCCCTCTCTCTAAAATCAGTAAAAAGAAATAACTGAAGTGTACACAGCGCTGAGCACCTGGCAGTGACTCCAAGCCCTGCACTGGACAAAACGAGGACCCTCATGACATCCGGTGGCAGGTGCAGTCACCGTCTCGCTCATAGGCGCAGAGACTGAGGCACAGTTAGGGGGCAGGTCCAGGGCCCATCTAGGCAGAGACAGAGCAGGTTTAACGCCCGGCACTGGAGACCCAGCACTGACAGGTGACAGGCCTGACCCCCCCCTCCCCCCCGAACACGCACAGAGCCTGGCAGACGTCATTGCCTTCCTTTCGCCTCTGAAAACGAAGATCAAACAGTACTTGTCGATGAGAGAACACGTGGACTCCATGGAGCATTATCTCGGTAACTTGAAGGTTTTCTTTTTTCCTTGTAAATTGGCCTAACAGAAGATACATTATTTTTGGGGTCTTACATGGAAAGTTCTAAGACGATGAACCCCAGAATCTGAGGGGGATAGTGCGGAGCGTCTGCAAATTTACGGCCGAGGCAGAATCACGCCTGCTGTTCCTCCAGCCCCGGCCCCTGCGGTGCGTTCAAAGCTTTTTATTCTAAAGGTCAAAGAAAAAGGCCATTTCAAAAACCAGTCTTTCCCTAGCTTGTTCCGATGGCAATTCAGATGCAATCCCCCCAGTGCCAGCTGATGCAGGCTCTCACGTGACTCGCGTGCGGTCCTTGAACTGGCTCAGGGCACCTTTGTACACCGGCCACTGTCGTCTGCCTGTCTGTCCCTCCCTCAGGGAGTGCCCTTTCGGCAGGACTTCATCCCTGTTTCTAGAACATAACATGGTGTCAGGAGTTGATGACCATGTAATTGCAACGGTTCTCATGAGGACTTCATAATCAGCACAGACTAATCACTTGATCCCAGGAACTACGCATTGATCTCACGTCGGCGATGATGAAACAGGACAGTGTGAGTGGCCTGCTCCAGGGTGGTCACAGTTCCTCAGGACGGGAACCATCACGGAAGCCAGGTCGCAGGTGGAGCGCCGAGCGACACAGACTCCGAGGGCTCGGCCACCTGCCTCTCGTGCTGCTGCTTCTAAGATAAAATTCGAGGCACCTGTGAGCTTCTAAAACCCAACAAAGTATAAACAAAAATACCACCCGAGAGAGTCATGAGGGTTGTTTCCATAGCACGATGGGTGTGTGACAGTTTCACCGGGGCGCTCACACGCTTTCCCAGTGTCTGGTACACTCCCAAGTCGTGGACCAGAATTCCCGAGGCACGGGCCGGGCTCTGAGTGCAAAACACGCTGAGCGCAGAGCTGTGGGCACCCGCCCTGATGGGCCTCAGGAGCCCCCAGCTCCTTCTGCCCACATTGGCCGAGAATAGAGCCGGCACCCTGGCTACGACGGGGGCACACTCTGCCGCGCGGCACCGTGGCCACCTTCTCGGTCCACGGTCAGCCTGGTGCATGGTCTGCTCCAGCCGGGAGCGGGGACCGAGCCGGCTTGGGGAGCGTGGCGCATGCTGGGAGCCCCGGATGCAGCCCGCACTTGGTTCCGTGTTTTTGCACGAACGGCTTGTGTCAAACTGCTATTCTCGGGGTGGAGGGGATAAGACAAATGAAGAGTGGATGTGGTTTGGGGCATAAATAAGGGAAGTCAGAGGATGTGCAGTATGAAATGGAGGCAGATCATTAATTTTTCATGGACACAATATATTACTCGTTTTTACATGACCATGCAGGTTCCCCCGCTGTCCCGTCCACTGCTTATCCTGATTCTTCTCCTCCCCAAAGCGCCGCCTGGAAAAGGTGTGACTGGGAGACCTGTGTCATAGTTCACAGACGCAGCTCACGGACCCGGAACCGCACCTGAGCGTCCACCTACACCCTCCCCCACCCCAGCATGCCCAGCTCCATTATAAACACACACGAAACATGCCTGGGGTCTTCCTCTTGCCTGCTGCACACACAGGAAACCGAACGCGAAGGCTCTGTCGTCAACTCTGCACGGGAAGCATGAGCCATTACTTCCGGACGCACCAAGTTCGGAAGGCTCAGCACCGTGGAGTGAACCCTTTTACGGGGAGCTATAGTCCAAAGAGAAGGAGGTTCTAAGCAGAGCACTGTGTCGATCAGGATAACAGGAAATGACATGGAAATAACAACCCTGGGGGTGACCCTGCAACGCGGGTGAACCGTGTCAACAGTGACACACTGGGTAAATCACATACATGTGGGCCCGCGGCATCTCCCCGCATCCTGAGTCGTAAATTGTGCAGTTAATTGTTTTGTATGCATTTCACTCGGCCTCTCTTGTGAAGCTGCTAATGTACAAACCATACAGGAAGGGAGGAGGAAAAAATAAAATGCGAACGGTCTCGTTTACCCACGAAACGCAGCACCAGAGGGAGTTGGAAGAGTTCACACTGCTAACACCAGGACAGACTCCGTGTGCGACAGACACGGTCACTGTCAACGGCCTGGTGTCAGCAGCCATGACTAGGATGTCAGACAGTGCCTTAAATTGAAATTTAAAACCACGTTTCAGAGGATACAGTTTTACTTCAAGGACGCATTAACTATTTGCAAATAGTGCCTTTGAAAAATCAATCGTTTACAGAGTAGTCAGCTACGCGGCTCATAGAACAAATACGCATTATTGGGGCAAACCCAGACAGAGACCCCAGCTCTGCAGAGCAGCGGGGCCCCGCCCACTTGGGGGCCATGGCCCGGGCTCAGGCCGCCTCCCAGCCCCCCTGCACCGAGCATCGGACGTCAGCGGCCGGTTTCCATCTCCTCCGCCAGTGTGTCCTGTCAGAACAAGTCCACTGTGCTCAGAAATGTCCATTAGCTTGTTAAATTATTGATTAGGCTCTAAGTTCTCATAAAATGTGAAGCTAAATGGAATACAGAGAAGGTGTCTGGGGCGACCCCTCGGGGACATTGGCCTTCTCCTCCTA